GAGACCAAAAAAGATAAAGTATTTAATAATGGGTACTATAATTTAATACACTAATGGCTAAATGTTTTATTGGAAAATATGTATGTAGAACAGGGCTGCATAATACTTGGTTTTAAAGTATTAATACCAAACAAATTTAAAAAAAGATTATTGGATAAGGTCCATAGCACTCATTTAGATATAATTATAATGAATGCGGTAACTATACCATATATTTGGTGGTTGGATTTAACAAATTCTTAGAAAATGTTGCTAAATCATGTGAAACGTGTTTAAAGTTTAATCAAAATTCACCATAAACAATTGATTTAATTGAATAGGCCAGTAAATATTTGGGAATAAGTTTATATTGATTTTTTGGTCCAATTCATAATAATATTTTTTAGTAGTCTTAGATACATATTCTAAGTGGTTGGAAGCTAAAATTATAATTTTGTAAATTACTACAATTAATTCTATAAAACAGATAACAGAAATTTTCAGTAGGTGGGGATTGTCATATACTATAGTTTTAGATAATGGTTTTTATTTAACATTGTGTCGTAATATGCCTAATGCTTTCCATTGCGCATCTTACGTTTATCAATGAAAAGTGTATAATCTGTATTTTATATTACTAGTATACAAAAAAATAATTTATTTATCTGTTATAACAAAAACACTGTTGTACACTAGCTATTATATATGTATAATATACATGTTAAATTGATTATTGTACACTATACATCTTATCTTAAAATAATTATCATGTTATGTTCAATTTAATACAATAAATTGAGAATCACTAAAAGTGCTGAAGACAACAACCGATGAAGGGGGTAATTAAAAATAATATAAAAAGGCTTAGTTCTGCTTGCACATCAGTGAGCAAGTATGCCAGCGAGCGGCTCAATTCTCTCTTCTTTTTGAAGATTTGAATTCAATAAGGAATTCAAAATTCTTCTATCTGATTTATTTTGAACAAACTAGCCGCGACCCCGTGTTGTCGTGGGTACATTTTAAAAACGATATCGAATACAATTATTTTGCGTTACACATTTTATTTATTTAAAAGAGACAGTACAAATCTTTACGCAAACCTTGACGATCTTTGTACAAGCCAAATAAAAGAAGTAAGTAATTTTATATTAACCCAATTATTTAGAACTAATAATCCGAGTAAAGAATGATAAAGCAATAGATCACATATTTATATTTATTTTCAAACTTTATTAATTATTACTGGCTAGTTCGTACCTTATACATAATCACATTACATGGTATTTGTGAGATGGCCACCGCCTCTTCGTTGCCTAAAAAAATTTAAAAACCTAATGTGATTTCTACTGTATATATAAAGACTTCGACTGGGTATTCATGAGATGGGCGCCGCCTCTTCGTTGCCTTAGTGTATTATTTCAGGTACTTGCCACTTAGGTCATCTGTAATACCTCTATATAGAAACTTTAATAATTTATTTTTATATCTACTTGTCTTTATTGTTCTAAACCCTCGGACTCTACAACCCCGATAGAACCTCGTTGCTCCTGAATTGACCAAATCCCCAAATATCCAACATTGGTCAATAAATCCCCAAACACCTTTTTTGCTTATTTTTGTATTATTACAATTGAGTGATTGAAAACAATTTTTAAAATTAAATGGTTTAAATAGTTTGAAAACAGTACCGGGTCGTCCGTCAAGTAAAAAGAGTTGCTAAAAATTCTGTAAAAACCTTAAAGCACGCTTTATTGACTGCATTAACCGATGATATAATTAAAATAATAAATGTTTTTATATTATTAAACAGGTTTTAGCTCAATTATCGTAATATTTCACGTGAAACTACAGATGAGGCACCAGCACAACTGATAGTTGATAGATTATTATGTTGTATATTAGACGTTTTTCATTCGTCTATTGACGAGGCAATAAAAGATAATACAAATGAAACATATAGTTAATTATAGTGGAAAACTGCATAGAAATTTTGCACAAGGAGATGATCTTATGGTTAAATTTAGATTATCATTTTGATGGAAGAATCATGGACTGCGGTAAATAAGGTATGAATGTGAATCTAATGGTAAAATATATAATAGTCATATAGACCAAATAATAGATGCACAGTTAAGAAATAAGGGAGATGCGATTCTGTATGATAAAAATATAGAAGAGAAAGATAAAAGCAAGGAAAGTGGTATTATAAAAACAAAAATACCAAGACTCTTACCTAACAAATGTAATGGTTTTATTTGTAAATAATTAGTTTTATATTAATTATTTATTTTTTATATGTGTATTTATTATTTATTTATTTTTATTTGTGAAATAAGTTAAGGTGATGTAATTAAATTGTTTTTATTTCTGTTAATAATGTATACAGTTATTTTAAAATATATTAATCTTTTGTTTTGATATTGTGTTATTAATTCATAAATAATGAATGAGTGTCGTCTTACTAGCTACATGTTGTACTCTTTTTAGTAGTTATAATAATGTTATATTATAAGTACAATAATGAATACTAGGTGACAATGAAAAAAAAAATAAAAATTATAAATCTATAAATTTTGCTTTTGTGTAAAAATTACTTCAATACTAGTAAAATATTTTGTAAAATGTATTTTTATATTATTTAATTGAGTACATTCAAAATTTAAATTTAATTTATTTCAGAAAAATAATTTTATTATTTTGATTACATCAAATATAATAAATAATATATTTATTTATTTAAGTGTCATTTTATTTTTTTGGCGAACTTAATAATTTAAAAACAAGTATGGTAATCATGAGATCATTTATTATTTTATTTAGTAGAATGTTCTTAACTAAATATTTACTTTATGAATTTTTGCAACATTGATAATAAATTACTAAAAATTACTACGCATTTAACTAATTTTTGAAATAAGATTTTATAATAATAAAAAAATAAATTTTAAAATTTAAGGCATCTTTTAAATACTTTGAATAGGGGATGATACCTAAGTATTAATGTAGGAATGAATAAATATTCTAAAATGTTTTTACCAAATTGCATCACATTTATTTAAATAAAAAAAAAACCTCTTTAAAATTATATATTTTTAGATGAATTTTATAAACAAAAATAAAAATTCAACTTAATATTAAAATCTTTTCAAAATTTCCCTCAACTTACAATTAAATACAATACTGATTTATTNTCAAAATTTCCCTCAACTTACAATTAAATACAATACTGATTTATTTGTAGAAAAAGCAAAAAAAAAAGTGTATGTTTAAAATTGATGGCTATTCTCAATTTACATTTTTTAATGCTATTAAAATATTTTGTAAAATGTAATTAATATTGTTGAAATGAATATATTAAAATTTAGATTAAATTATTTTCAGTATAATAATTTTATATAAATAATTAAAAATAAAATCGCTATTGAATATGTTACGTATTGATATAAATTAGTAGTGGGGATTGTCCACTACTCACGAGTGCCATCACAGGTACACACACCATTAAAAATTATATTGTTTCTCAATAATAATTTATTTTCTATTTAACTATTTGATGTTGTCTTTCATACTATGATGTTTTCATAAAATTTTGTTTGAGGAATTTTTTATGTAAATATATAAAATTGATTCATATAGGTCACAAAAATAATTTTAAATTTGATTCTTTTCATGCATAAACAGCTCTATAAATCAATATGTTATTAAAAATGTCTCCAAAATTTACTATATAAACTGCCGTTTTATACACCATTTTCAAATTCGTTAATTGTATTTACCTGTTGTAGTTAATTCATACGTTGTAATATAACCACAAAATGTATAATAAAATCGTCTTAATATTTTGTTTTGTGTGTACTTTCATTACATACATTGATGCATCAAGCAGTTCATCGGTAATTATCCTTAAAATAATTATTTTAATAAATTTTTTTAAAATACATTTTGCACAATGTGTGTTTTATTTCATTAAATTTTAAACAAAAATCATTTTTTCTGTATACAGTGGACTTTGTAAAAATAATACTCCTAATTTTTTTGTTTGATAATATTTTCATAAAATGTATAAAAAAAAATTTGTTTATTTTTATTGTTAATTTATTTTATATGATTCCCGGCATTTCTCTACATCGTATTAATTNTGATTCCCGGCATTTCTCTACATCGTATTAACTTGACATTTATCAGTCTAATAATTAAAGACTTGTTTCTTTTTTTCTTTCACAAATAAGTAAAAATTAGTTAGGTAGAAGTTTTTTTTATTTATTTCGTATTCGAGCATCACTCACACATTTAGGTTTATAATTGATTTAACTTTAACTTTTATAGAAGTTTATATAGATTCTACAGGAGGAAGAAAACACCATGATTTTAATGATTAAAATTTTTAATGATTAATGATTATTTAATGTCCTTTTTTACAGCGCTCAGTAAATTTATTTTAATGATTATAAAAATGAGATATGCAAAATGTGTGATCAATATTTGATAATAAGAATTTGTGAATCGTTAATAGAAAATAAGATGAATAATTAGAAAATTTTTTTTTATTTAGGTTTAATACATAAAAAGTCATCTAACTGGTATCATAGTATAAAAATATGAATGGGTTACCTTTCAAAACTCATTAGGTTTCTTTTCTATGTTTTTTAGAGCATTAATGTAAATCTGTACAGAAATTATTTGTATAATATTATAGACATTTCGATTTTGAAATACGGTAAAGAAAAATAAGATTTCAGATAAACTTAGCCTTTTAACTTTATAAAAACCATTGTTATATTTAATTTTATATTAATAATACTTATAATGATATAATCATTACATATTCTTTAAACTTAAACAAAATATGTTATTAATTTTTTTTTTTGGATAACTATTGTACCTTATGTTGACTGGTAATTATAAAAATTGAATTTTTATTAAGGATAATAAACAACCTGCAATTAGACTGTTTAATCGACACAAAAATGAGGCAACAGGTATGATTGGCTTTAAGGAATTTAAAAATATGTTTGGTACANACAAAAATAAGAAAACAAATAAGATTGGCTTTGATGAATTTAAAAATATGTTTTCTACACAATTGAATGAAAAGAAATTGTATGAGATGTTCACCAAATATGCATTAAACGGTAGTACATACAAAAAAAATTAATTAATTGATTAATAATTAAAATTATTAACCTAAAAATAAAAATTGAAGGTAGTGTCATACAAAGTAATCGATTTATTATACTACTTGATTATTCGCAAAATAAATACAATATTCAAAAAAAAATTTGTTGGTTTGTTTAGCAACATGTATTAATGTATTAATAACTTTTTAGAATCATCACATTATGACTTAAAGAGATGTCAACTTTTTTGTTTTAAAATGGCACCATACATATATAACTAGCTAATAAAATAAAAAAATGATCTAAGTAATATAATGATTGACCGATAATAACATTTGAACTAGTACTGTAAAAATTTTTAAAATTTTTATATCTAGGCGGGAGAAGAGGGGCGACAGAGATATGTCCAATAATTAAATTAGCAACAACTACACTATATATTATGCTAATAATATATAGTGTATAATGCTAATGCTAATAATTGATACAAACTATTGGTACAAAAAAGGAGTATATATATAGCATTTATAAAAAAAAAATGTATTGATCCATATTTCAAAAGTTTATACAAATTTAAAGTTACAAATATAAAATTGAAAAGTTTAACACACAAGTAGTATTTTTTTTACTTCAGCAGCACAATTTATTTTTCACAATAAAAATAAGTCATCAAGACAATCTTTTTTTAAAAATTATAGTATATACACAAGCTTTAATTTAACATGTGGTTAAGGCTCAGAGTATTTCCAGAACATTTTAAAAACTTCAGTTCAATAGGTTAAATTTCCATTNGAGTATTTCCAGAACATTTTAAAAACTTCAGTTCAATAGGTTAAATTTCCATGCAAAAGTAGAAATTTTTAATCCATCTCAGTGGGCAAATTATGAGTCAGATGTCAAAAAAAAATATATACTACATAAAAAAAATACCTAAGATATTTGTAAAATAATTTTTTTTTCATTGTTCCATTTTTAAAAATTTATGACAGTTTTAAGTAAAAAATTTTCAAATTTAATAAAATTGATAGTTGATTCAGATTTAAAAAATCCTAATATTTTGGGGAATGTCTCCCATTAACGGGAAACAAGAAAAAATTTTAATTTTTGAGGGTTATGACTTCAACTAGATGCGATTTGACATCTTTTTAAGTATCGTTGAAAAAATTTGGGCCAGTGACAGCTGAGAAAAAGTAGTGACAGATATGAAAAATTTTTTATTTTATAATATCATGATAAAATTAATAACATTTCAGCTCTTCATCGAAGCTAAAATGATCTAATTAAGAAAATAACAGGCTTATAACAACACTAGGATCAGTGCTTCGAAAGTCATTAACATTTTTATACATAGGTGGAGAGGTGTGGTCAAGATATATCCGATAATAAATTAGTAGCAATCATTACCACCAGTCTATATTTTAAACTCACAGTAACTTTTTAAAAACTAATCCAAAAGTTGTTATCGACCAGCCATTTTATTAATTAGATCATTATTATATAAACTTATTAAATATGAATATTTTTAATCAAAAAATTAATTTCACACCCTTATAAGTTATAAGAGATGATTCTAACAATTAATTAATACCTGATATCAAGAAATGTATGAAATCAGAAAAACCAAACATTTATTTTTTTTGAATATTGTATTTATTTTGTGAGTAATCCAGTGGCGTATGATAAACCTTTTATTCTGTATTTTGTTTTATAATATAAATTGTATTTAGTTGAAAAATTGCCCCTTTGATATAGTGTCTATCAAAAAAAAAAAATGTTTTCATGAATTTTAGAGTTTAATAAAAATTGATCACTTATGGCTAATATCATTTAAAATGAAAAATATTAACTTAAAACTAAAAACCCAGCACAGGAGGGTCGGGCACAGTGGTGCGGTAGTAATGTTGAATCAAGTATAATGATATCTAACCGTGATTAAAATCACTATCAAAAATAAACACTTCGATGCAAATCATTAGATAGTGTTTAATTTAAGATATATATAAAAGTGCCAGACCTTCCGGAACACTTTCAAAAGTTAAGTTGAAAAAGTTAATTTTTTTGTGAAAAAGTTGTCTTTTTAAATCATGTTCTGTGGGTAGATAAAGGGTCAAATTTACAAAAAAAATATACCAAATGAAAGGTGATGATATTATGCATCTATATAAAAAAGAGTTATATTGATATGTTCAATTTTGAAAAAGTTATGGCAGTTTTTAGTAAAAAAAATTGAAAAAATTTCGAAAATTAGCGATTTTTAAATTTGTGATTTTTTTCGAAGTTTCCTCCATTTACCGGGAACGAGGGAATTTTTTTCTATTTTTGAAGGTAATGTCTTCGATTAGATACGATTTGTGATCTTTTGACGTATCATTGAAAGAAATCGATTCGGTGAAAATCGTGAATATGTATTTCGGTAACAATTTTACCATTATCAACGCTATAAGGAAAACAATAGAAATATTTAAAAACAGTTAAATTAAATGGGATCTTGGTACACTGAAAAATTTATATGTGTTTAGCGCTGATAATGGTAACATTGTTCTCGTTATACTTATTCACGATTTTTAATTAATTTTTTGGACATTATTTAGTATTTACTGTAGAATAGGTTTGGCTATAGGCTATAAAATATTAGAGTGTTTTATACAATGTTAACAATTTCTAGATTCTATAAAATGAAAATTAAAAATCCAGTGTAATTAATTAATTTTTATGTTTGATTGTGTCTATTTTGCAATTCTCCTTTACATGAAATAATTTTTAATATTCAAATAAAAATTACATTAAAAGTAATTTAACTTATATATTATTTTTCAAAAATGAACAAATCAATATCATTTTTTTATATAGATGCTTGATGTCTTTACTTATCATTTAGTGTATTTTTTTTTGTAAATCTGATCCTTAACCTGCCCACAGGGGGGGATTTAAAAAGGCAACTTTTTCACAAAAAATTAATTTTTTCAACTTGATTTTTGAAAATGTTCCGGAAAGTCTGGCACTTTAATATATATCTTATACTTATTACACTTGATCTAACTATGCCACGTCATCAATGTGCCGCATCCCCACTGTGCTGGGTTTTTTATATTGTAATAAAATAGATGTCAAATTAAAGCTCATGATAAATATTATAAGTTTAAAAAAAAATTGAGTCCCGACGAATTATCTACTAGATGCAAACGGTTGCCGTAATTAATAAACATGCAATTTTGGTGTTAAAATTTACGATTTCAAATTTTATTAGTTAAACTATTTTAACTGAATTTTTGAAAATTTTCCGGAATATGGACACTTTTATTAAATTTTAAATTAAAGCTTATACAGTATATACTATACTATGAAAAAAAATTTTTCGAGATATAATGAACATGATTATCATATACGAAAATATGCTATTTTTGTGTTAAAATTTTGGGTTTTGTATTTTAAATTATTTTAATATACCTATAATGGGGTACAGTGATTTTCATGAATATTATATGAAACTAATTGACATAGAACACAAAGTTAAACTTATTTCAATTTTTTTTTTCTTCGAATAAAGTACTTTTAACATTTGAATCAGCTTAAATTGCCAATTTTATCAAAATTAAAAAAAACGAAGGCGACGAACGTTTGCAGATTCAATAAAAATCATTGCCATAGGAATAATAATAATAATATTTTATATTTTTAGGAAATAATATGGGTATAAACGAATTGAATAATTTACTGGATGCCAATATAGGGGATATGACAAGAGATGATTATACTAAAATATTTCAGGCTTTTGATAGTAATAATGATGGACAAATTTCTGTTGAAGATCTTCATACTATAATAAATAAAATTGATCCTAATTACATGAATAATACTAAACCGTCTTTAGATAAATATTATAAAGACAAAAATAGACTTATTTCTCTTGAAGGTAGTTTTGAGGTTTAAAAAATATACATCTTAAAATGTAAAATGTATTATTCATCATTAAAAAAAAAGTGTTTATCAAAATCTAGTAATGATAACTGAGATTACAAAATATTATTAATTGTAAAAATTTAATTATTAAATATAAAGTTTGACTACATACTGTGAATGAGGAAAATAATTATAAAACTATACATTAGGATGATCTTAAGCTACTTATGTTGGTTTTAAGCTTCGATGCAAAACTGAGAAGGTACTGGTTTCACTAAGATGTGTCTATTTTTTTATTTTTTATTTTTTTTTTTTTTATGTCTGATGTCACTTTTTTCAGCTCTCACTGGACCGATTTCTTTCAACAATACGTCAAAAGATCACAAATCGTATCTAATTGAAGACATTACCCTTAAAAATTGAAAAATTTTCCCTCGTTCCGCGCAAATGGGGGAAATCTCCAAAAAAATTACAAATTTAAAAATCGCGAATTTTCGAAATTTTTTCAATTTTTTTTTCTTAAATCTTCCATTACTTTTTCAAAAATCAACATTTTTTTATATTAAAACCTTAGATATTTTTCCATCATTTTTTGAAAATTTAACACTTAATCTGCTCACTGGGGGGATCTAAAATAGCAACTAAATTTTAAAAATGTTCCGAAAATACTGCGTTCTTTAAACATATATCAAATTAAAGCTTATTTTATGTACTATAAAATTTGTTCCGACACTTTATTTTCTAGTCGCAAAAATAACTTTTAAATTTGACTTAGCTTAAATTGTTAATTTTATCATGCAAGAAAGTGACGAAGAGTTGCCGAATGGGTAACACTTGTGTTTTTCACGCATAGGGTACAAGGTTTAAATCCATCTGTGGCAATTAATATTTTGCATTTTTTTTGAGTTCGAAAAAAATTTTCAAATCATTTGATTTTTATCTCATTAAGATTCAATAACTTCAATAAATATCAAGGATCCTATCATTGTATTCTACCCTCGCGAGAAGAAATTTTTATATATATATATATTGTCGAATTAGATTTGATATTATTTAATTTTACTTTGAAATTTATTAATTTTTTTACTCTATTTGTGTGTGCTACTACCAGTTTATAACATTCCAATTTTTTTTGTAACATGTTGCTATATAAATCATAAATCTAAATAAAAAAATGATTTTTAATTTCACCTGAATTTAACAATGGATGAAATAAAAAATTTACTGTAAATATTAATTACAAAATTTCCTGATTGCATTTTAATCTTAACAAAAACATTTTTTCTATTTAATGATGTCAATTTCAAACTTGCAAATTGAGCTAAAAGTTATTGTAAGAAATTCACTTTTTTTTTATATAATAAACTTTCACTTTAAAGGACAAAAACATTAAAAATCAATAATAATTTGAAAACAATTAATTATAAAAACTGTATAATATATAAGTAATAGAATTACTAATCTGGACATAATTAAGGAAATAGAAGTTGATGTTGCTTTTGTAATTATCCACCAATTTCTTAGAATTAAACACTATCTACAGATTTGCATCGAAGCGTTTCTTATGATAGTGATTTTAATCACTGTCAGATTAAATCTATACTGGACCCAACTATGCAATTCTTGGGACACGCCTTAAAGTTGATCGTTCGTTAAAAAATTTTTCACAGTTATTTTGTTGATATATTCGATCAATTTTCTTTGGGATTTTTTAGGAAGTGACACTTGTAAATATTATTAAAATTAAATACCCAGTACAGTGGGGACGTACACATAGTTGGGTCTAGTTTAGATATAATAATATTATATTATTATTAGTAATAATTATTTAGTTTTTTTCTTCAAAAACATTGACTTGTACAAAAAAGTTATAATAGCTTTTTGTAGATTTAATGTTTTTCTCTAAAAAATATTTTTTTTCTATTTACTATTCACAAGTACGTCGATTATTTTATGAAATTATATAAATTTTCTCAATATCTTTATAACGTTAAGAACCACAAATTTCGTTATATTTATCAGCGTACACAAAAGTCATTCACAAGATAAATTTATTAATATGAATAATGCAATTATTAAAGTTCATAATTAAAAGTTACCCTATTATTCATACATAAAATTTAATTAACTTTATTATTGTTCCAGAATTCGTGCAAGTGATGAATGATTTAAAAAAATGAAAACATTAAGAAAATATTTTATCATCTTATGTGATATTTTTTTTATGTTATACAATACTAATTAAAATAAAATAAAAATAATAACGAGAGTTTAATATCAATTATAAAAATTAAATTGTAACACCAGAAATTTTACTCAATATGCATTTAAAATGTCTGTAATCGTTTAGTCTATACTCTTCTGCTACACAATAAAATACTATTCTACAGATACGTAAAGTACAATAAATATTTTTCATTTTTTGCATGACAAATAACTGACAAAAGTGCAATTATGGAAAATAATATACGTCTTCTTCTTCTTCTTCCTCGCTTGAATCTCAACTACTTGGGGTAGGCCACCCTTATCCTAAACTTGAAACGATCTCCCACATCCTCTACACTCACATTAGATGTCCTCATATCGCATTCAATAATATTTACAGGGTGGCCCACCACTCACTGACAACTTAAATAACTTTTGATCCAGTTAATATTTTTAGTTGATTTTTTTTTTAAATAATAGTTATACGTTAGGTCTATAGCTATATCTCAATAATTAATTTTTTTACATTTTATTAAAAATATTAATTATTTTTAAATTTTAAATAAAATGTAAAAAAAAAATCTAAGATAGCTATTTTGTAGAGTAGAATTTAAGAAAAATTTTAGTAAAAAAATATCTTATTAATATTCAGTAGTAAATATTCTGAAGCGTTTTAAAGTTTGTGAAAATTTGAATTTTCATGTATTATTTTATGGTATTAAACATTGAAATACGTATTGAGAAAAGGACAGAAGAAAACGCTATCTTTTCATTATTACTGTGTATACATTACAAACTTGGCATTAATACCATGATTAGAAATTAAATAAGGCAATTATTACTTATCACTCTCAATCAAAAGTATATTGAAAAGATCTATCTACTAAAAATTTGAGAACCATTTAGTTTTATTCATGTGTCGCCACGAGCAAATAGCGGTTTTAGCGTACGGGCAGATTAGGCAGCACATGTACCCAAATTTTCGGCATTTATTTGTTAAAAAATTTAATGATACGTTCAGGTCTGTATTTAAGATTTTTGCGTACTAATATTTATAAACAAAATAAAGTTATATTTTCCCCATCACTATCAAATGACATTCGCCCCAAGAATTTTTTTCCCCTTAATCACCCCCAAACGTCGTTTTGAATAATTACTTATTTTATCATATAGGTATACTCTTACAAAGATAATATAATGTTTTACAGAAGGTATATAAACTATAATAGGTATCTTCCTTAAGTGTATATATATATTTAGAATAAATAATAAAAATATAGTTTATAAAAAAAAAAAGTCATCAAAATATTGGAACGAAATTCAAATATTAATACTAAGCTTAAAAAAATGTCTAATCCGTATAATAATACGGATACATTTAAAATTTTATCTTAATTTATGTGTGGTACAGAACGCCGTTGNAATTTTATCTTAATTTATGTGTGGTACAGAAGGCCGTTGAAGGATCTAGTTGACCAGTTGTTACAAAGATCATTGATTATATTATTTCGTGGGACAGCTGATCACCAGCATCTTGCTTTACTAATCCCCTTGCCCACCTATCACGGCAAATCGATGACCTCCGTGTCGGTTTTCATCCATGTACAGTTCATTGTCTTAAGTCAGTCAATCGATTGTTTTATGTATCCTTTTTTTTCTGTTGCAAGCGCCTTCGCTTGAATGGTAAATTGTCCGGTCGTTGTACGTCATAGTTTTTTATTACTTGTTTATTGCACCCTTGTGCTCAAAGTTTACGTGCCCTTGCACGCCACTAGTGATTGGGCCCTGACCATCACTAAATATCTTCACTGCCGTAGTCTGTTTTCATCTGCCATTACGTACCTGAATTGACATTCTGACTCGTTATACTTAGATGTTCGACACCATTACCACAATATCTCATACAGTCCACTCATCAATATCAACAACGTTATCTATACAGCTGAGTTTTATATTATTTTTAATGTTATTTATTATTTGTTTTAATTGAGATTAACTATTTGTTTTATGCCGCTTCGCCGTCCACTAGTATTTAAGGGCCCCCCGTCACCCCTTAAATTTAAGATACTTACTGAGGAATTTCTAATATATGTAATTATTTGTATTTAATTGTTGTCTACTCTCGTTTACTTATTGGATGTATAGTTAGCCGTTGTCTCCTAGGTGACCCACTCCCGCATCAATAATAACGTTTCTTTTTTAAACAGACTTAAGGTAAAGTGGCATTCCAGAGCGGTGTACAACTAGCCGTCCTACGATCTAGCTTCCTCGTCCACAACAATCTAAAAATGTTAAATTATCTTATCTAAAAATTCATGATTTTATCGTATTAGAAATTATGCATCATATTGCAAGTGGGCTTTTTAATATTTTGGCCTGTAACAACAACGTCGTTTGCCACTTGCANTATTTTGGCCTGTAACAACAACGTGGTTTGCCACTTGCATAACGACTAGCTATAGTAGCAAGGGTCGCCACCACCTAGGCGACGTGTCACACCTATCAGATATGATTACCGGACCATAGGTGGAATTTAATTTTAAGTTAATTAAAAGTATAATCTAAGTTAATATGTCGTTATATGTATAAATTACTATAATACCTCATGATTTATTAAACACAATTATGACAATTAAAGTTGTTTGTGGTTGATATGTTAAACATATCGTAGCCCGTGTCTAGATTAAGGAATTAAGTTACTCACGCAATAAAATAAATATTACAGTTGAAATTAATAAGGAAATTTAATTTAATTGTTAAAAAAAAAGAAAATTAAGTTAAACATGGACAAAAATGCGAATGCATCAAAAACCATGTCTACAAATAAAGGCAATACAAATAAAATAAAACATTTAAACAAAACAAACAAATAATATTACAAACATCACGGACGGTATTGGAACACATCCGTTAATGTTAATTGGAAATTAATGAAGAACATCAGGAGCGGTCTGAACACTCGCTCCTTAGCGTTGGCTAGAAGAAAAGGAAAACACGTGCTCTCCACACATAAACAAAATTAAGTTAATTTACGATAAAATGAAATAAAATAATTAATAAAATATAGCTCATTACATAAATATAATATATAAAAGAAAACGATACCCGGTCTCCGAAGAGACCCATCCGATGGCATCTGGATGCTTCGCCGAAAAGACCTGGCCGTTCGCCGTTAGCGGTTCTACTCCATCATTGAATAAAAGTGACAATAAACGTGTGTACTCTAGCACGGTCAATGACAGAAGAAAGAATAGAGACGAGTCAACACCGATCTAACGGCAATTTCATATCGATAACGGCCAGTCTTTTTGGAAGGGATTAATACTGATAAACAATTTGATTTTAATTATATTTCTCTTTTATCGCCTTATCTAGCGGTCAGCGGCAAAATAATGAGTGGTTGACATCGCTGTCAGAAAAAAGTTCTTTCGCGCGATAAAATAGATAAAAGTAGACATAACAAAAAAATCATGAACGGTCCATCTTTAAATTTGTGACCAATGGTGTAGTCCTAAAAATGTTTATGGGTATACGCCTATATAATGAATAAAGAATAACGTGGGTGGTTCCACCCCCAAAACGCCCATTGCACTTTACATTTTATACATACAATATTTCACATTATCAACAGTGATATAGTCGTACTTTGATCAACAGATAAGTTAAAAACCGAAATGAGGATACGTGGGGAATTTCACCCCCACACTACTTTTCAAAGGACTTAACTATAACATAGTTTTGGGGGACGGAATACAAATATTGTGATGTTTTAACTGTGTTAAAAATATGTATTTTCTTATTATTACATAATGCAACTAAAACTCCTAACCCTCCCAGTTGCTCCTTCCAACTTCCAAACTATTACTCGAGTATTTTTACTGACACTTCTAAGTTCTTACATAAATTAAATTTCATAGTCATACAATCGATAAGTGTATTATTAGATACTGTTATATTTTTTATAAATAAACAATAAACTTCATGCAGTAATAAAATAATCTTATAATCATTGTTTTCAAAGCGTTAAAACATAAATGAAATAAACGTGAATAGGTACATGTTAGTACTATCTTAATTCATTATAGGTAATATATTAAATACTAGATTGGTTGGTAAACGGTTTATTACGGAAAAATACAAATTACCAATTTCAACAGCTATAGGTTAACCCAATAACTTTCAGTTTCAACTTAGTATGTGCTATATCGTTAATTTCTGGTCGATGTTTTAAATTTTGTCAAATGTCAATAAAATTGTCGTGAAATGATAAACATTATCCTATTTATTTTATTGATATTTATTTATACACTTTGACAGTGTTTTGTTTTACATTTATATTCTATTTTTAAAATGATAATAGTCTCGAGCCATATTTGTGTGTTTATAAATTCAGATATATGTTTATATGTGGTATGACTGTAGAGATTAAACAAACTGATAAGAGTTATTCAAAATTTGTGTTTTATGACAAACGTACCTATATTCGATACCCACGTATTACTTTTTATTTTATTCTTTAGTCTATACTCTTTAACTATTTTATAAATACGTATATGCACTAATAAGAAAACTAACAGTGGGTATACGCCGTATACCCGCGTATACGCTCCACGACACCTTTGTGACGTTACAATATTAATGATTTTAACGTATTTAATAAAGACTATTTTATTTATAAATTACTAGAATAAGTGATTTAAAATTGTGTGTATATATAAATAATTAATTTATGTATACGTGTATGTGTTAATAAATATATTTTTAAAGTATTTTCAATCATACTGCGTCGAGAGTATTAAAAGAAGATTCATTGTATATGTATTCTATGAATGTTTATTCTTGAGAAACACAATAATGTATTCAGACATTCCGTCACTGTTTGCCCTATTCCTATTTATGGTTTTTTATGACATCAATATTCACAGGTACACAGCATTGTTATTATCAATGATAGTAAGGTACATTGTTGTGAGTTTATAAATACACTAACTGACAATACAAAAAATATGTCTATTGATAGTTATAATTGATAATAAACAATCCGTGACTGTGACAGCAATGTCCTAAAAAACCAATTAGCTACCTATATTTGTAATCCCTTATATATGATACCTGTAAATTAACTCAAAAAGTTGAAACTTTAAATGTTAATATCTAATAAATGAATTAAGTTATACTAAAAATTCAAATGCCAGTTACTATTAAATTAAAATCTCAAACATTTTATTAAATTCAAAATATGTGTTCCCACTTAAAAAAACAATGTTGACCCCGTTACAAGGCATAAGGGATGAATTTAAAAAGTATAACATAGTTAATTATTTAAGAATAATGTGTAACTAAAGATAATCAAAAAAAAAAATGTTTCAACAATGTATCTTACCACTGATAATAACAATGCTGTGTACCTCCGAATATTGATATTGATAAACCAATTAGCTACTTGTATTTGTAAACCCTTGTGTATTATACATGTATATTAACTCAAAAATTTAAAATTTTAAGTGTTTATATCTAATAAACAAATAAAGTTATACTAAAAATTGAAATGCTATTTATTAATAAATTAAAATCTCAAACATTTTATTAAATTCAAAATATGTGTTTCCATTTAAAAAAACAATGTAGACACCCTTACCAGGCATAAAGGATGAACTTAAAGTATTACATAGTTAATAATTCAAGAATGATGTGTAACAAAAGATAATCGAAAAAAAAATGTTTAATTTATTATTATTCTGCAAGTAATTGAGTGGGTTAAGATAAAAAAATCACTCTGTATATATAAATATATATATATTTAGTAGTATTTTATACCATCTGTAATTTATGAATTATAATAATCTTGTTTTCGTATAACAGATTAAAGAAATCCCCTAGTTGAAATACTTAAACGCTAATATAATTTTAAAAATTAAATACATTTTTTTAACACGCTTATATTGGTTTCACTTGTATGTTGTGTGTTTGTAAATCTTTTTTAAAATTAAACATTATCTAAAGATTTGCACCAAAGCATTTTTTTAGAATTAATATTCTGAGTTAAGAACGATAAAGAAATACATCAAGTATGTTCATAAAAATCTTCAAAATTTAATCAACCATCGATGACTAGTTCATACCTTATTTATAGACACTTCAACTGCGTATCAATAAAGAAGGCCACCGCCACTTCAAGAATACTTCAGTATACTGTTAAGGGAGCTTTTCAATTAGTGTATCTTCACATCTCAATAAAGAGTACTGTTAATTATTTTCTATTAATAACAATGTGCCTTTATTGTTATAAACCTTTGGACCCGATAGAACCTCGATGTTAACCAATTAAACTAATACTCAAACATTCAAACTTTGTCAATAAACCCATATATTATTTTCTTTTTGATTATTACAAAATATATTTTTTTTAATTATTGTTTTGTTTTATTCTAGATGACACACTGTGTTCATAATTATTATACAAATAAATATAAAATTAATGAATTTCAACTATAACCATTAAATTCAAATTTAATTAGATGTAATTAAATAATAAAAACTTATTATTTATCAGTTATTATATTTTCTAATGTTAATTCATCATAATATTTAAAAGTTATCAATGTCTATGTAAAGTTTTGTCTGCAAAGTAAAAATTATTTTTTAATTAATTAAATAAAAAGGCCAGTAGAGGGGGTCGCGGAACAGTGGTGACGTGGCATAGTTGGATCAAGTATAATGATATCTGACAGTGATTAAAATCACTATAAGAAAAAAACGCTTTGATGCAAATCTTTAGATAATGTTTAATTTTAAAAAATTCTTTTTTTTTTGCAAAAATTACATTCAAAGTGAAATTCTGAAAAAAAACCCCTTTGAACTTCAGTTTTAAATACAAGATTTGAAAAATTACAGGCAAATAACTCGTGTTTAATTGATTTCAAACTATTAAAAAAATATTCAATTTTTATTATTCTGGGACTATTTAAACTATACCTAAATTAGTTAAATATGTGTATTAATTTCATTGTAAAATAATACTATAAAAAATAAACTAACTCTTTTTGAATTATTGGTTGATTAACTTCTGAAGAAATTTTTTTATCAAGTTAGTATCAAGAGTTTGTGCACTGGGTGATAGTGGTAAAAAATCATAAAAACTATCATCTCCAATTTTTCTAAAGAAAAAATAAATGTTTGTTTCTAATAAATTATATTTTAACCTTGTCCTTCTTTAAAAATTTTTCTTCGTGAAAAAATTACTCACTCATTTATTAAATTCTCCTCGTTACTTGTTTGAAGTATGCCAAGTGACATGTTAGTTTAATAATTGGAAACATTCTACCAAAATAATATATATTGTATTTATTTTTTGATTTTCATGTGTAGCTGAAGAGATACCTTGATTTTACAGTAATGTGTTTTTTATTTTCAAATTTTTTCTACTAATAAGAACTATTAATGTTCAGCCTAATGGTGTACCTAAATCATTTTTTTTTTTTTGAAATGTCACTTATACTTCATGAATTCTAAGCACTTCGTATTATATTAAAAATAGGTTGTATCTCATCATCACTCAATTCTGACCATCTTTTTTAAAAAAATGATTTACTTTTTTTTAATTCATGTAGTTTAAAATTCATTTTATAATTAATGTAAGAGATTTATATATTTTATGATCAAGCAATTTATGTATGTGTACTAGGGTGGTCTAAAAACATTACTTAACAAAATTTTGTCCTCCTACCATCTAAATTTGTATTCTAAAGTTTAAAAATAGTTTCTACATTTATACTTATAAAAAAAGCCAATACAGGGGGGTCGCGGCACAGTGGTGACGTGGCATAGTTGGATCAAGTATAATGATATCTGACTGTGATTAAAATCGCCAGTACTATTGAAATCATTACGGTTCTTTTAGTGTCATCAAAATTTTTATTTGTTTTTAAGTGCTCGACAATTTTATCAAAATTTATCTTATCATTTTGGTCAATCTTAAGTTTTGAAAAATTATTTATTATGTCGAGTATGATAATTTTGTTAATATCTCGCTGTCGTTATTTGATAATATTGATTTTATACTCAATTTTGATACATGGATTGATATGTTTAGAATAATATTTTGATCAACGATAGGGGAAATAAATGAGCTCTCGTGAATTATATCTCAGTGTTGTGAATTTTTTATAAGACCGGCATTTGTTAATTGGGCCATGTAAATGTTAGTGGCAGCCTGCCCCAACAAATTATTTCTTTTTCTTTATTGGAACTGAAATAAATGTGTTTGTTGCTTGTTATAAATATTGGTTATCAATATTTTTATCATAAAATGTAATTGTCAACATATAAAACTATTTATATCTTATTTAAATAAATTGATATTATATTTGGCGATCAATTGGTTTCATAGATTGTTTACATGCAATATGAAATATTAATAATCAAAATATTAATTAAAATAATGCATAATTAATAAATACTTTATGCGAATAATACTCATAATAATTTTGTAGTATATTTTTTTATTTATTATAAGAGAAAAAACAAAAACTAAACATTTATTATTTTAATTTATATTTAACACATTTCAATTGAAAATGAAGAAAACAAAACAAAACAAATTTTGTGTTATAACACATCATACCATTTTTTTGATTTTTTGAAAATTTTGTTATTTGGATCATAATAATTCTTAAAAATGTATTCATTCATTTTTTGTTGTTCTGAAAAAAAGTAAGTAAAAAAATAAGTAAACCATGATTATTAAATAATTTTATAGAATAAATAATGGTATAAATATTGTGTATCAGCTATAGACCTGTCTATACAATGACCAACATAGCCTCGATCAAGAATAGAGCATTTTGTATTTGTATAATAGCAGTAACCACTAACAATTACTATGAAAATAAAAGAGCAAACTATATTAATTGTTATAATACATACACCACTCATTATTCAGTAGTATATATGTTATTACCTATTAGTCATCACACTAAAAATATTATTCATGTTAATACTTTAAACTATTCCAAGAAATATGTCTAAAAATATATTGATATAAATCTACTGTAATAATTATAAGAAATTCTGTAGTTGTGACAAATTATCTATTTTAAGTAAAATAATATGTAATAAATAACACAAATTGAGTAATAAACAGATAATAGTAAAAGGTCGTGACACTTCTTGCATAGATAGATGAATTAAATTTAATATAAAAGGGCATAAAAACTGTCAATCTCTCTCACTACTACTTCACCTTATGANTAAAAGGGCATAAAAACTGTCAATCTCACTCACTACTACTTCACCTTATGAACTTTCAACGAATGCAAGAAGTGGCTGGACAAAATACGATTTTACATAGAAAATTGAAGTATATTCATTTTTTTCAACATTAGTCCTGAAATCATTAAGGTAAATTCATATTCGAAGTAAATATAATGAGTACATAAATTAAGTAGGAAACCAGAAAAAGTAAAGTGATCTCTAGAATAAAATATTGTCTAAATAAATAAAGAGAATCAATAACGTTTGTACGAAGTTAGCCAGCCTAGTCTAATCTTTGAGTGGGTTAACTGTGTAGTCAATACTAATAAAGANTGAGTGGGTTACCTGTGTGGTCAATGCTAATAATGACTCTCTTGCGAAGATAGAAAACCCACTTATGGTTCCTATACTACTCGAGGTTTTTATTGACTCGACTCACAGTCAGCACAAGCTTAGATAACTACTGGTACGGGTGGCGTTGTTGATGATCTATGTGTGATAATTAATCACAATAATTTTTATTTAAAATTATTATTATATTAATAAATTTTCAAACATCACTTTGTTTTTCTATATTTTACATCTTCTCATATACTTTCGTACTCATATCCCGAGAGAAAATTATATTATATCATTTTCTTTATTCAATAAATATTATAGTAACTCAATTATTCTCATGCTCATATAATACCAACAAATATAAATAATTTTANAACTCAATTATTCTCATGCTCATATAACACCAACAAATATAAATAATTTTAATAAATTATCCTTTAATTATTAGTAAAAATCTTCTTAATAATTTTCTCCTTTTATTTTGAGTTACTATATAACTATATAACTATATCTATATAAACATGAAACTTGAATTACCCAAATTGGGAACTATTTATAAATAATATAGACAATTACTTAGAAAACATTTAGAAAAATATATAATCAGATAAAATCAATGAAGTTATAAAAATTTTCACTTACATCATCATTAGAGTTGCTGAAATTTCAATTAGTTACAAATAACACTCGGACAGACCAAAAACATTAAATTGGTGGATCAATAACTGTTCATCAACGATTCAAAACTACAAGAAAGCAATACATCGATTAACACAAACATTCGATGGCTATATAAAACTAAAATCAACTAGGGTAAAATTCAAACAAGTTACAAAACTAAGAAAAGTGAAACTATAAAATTATTTTTAATTCACAATAAATACAAAGATAACCTTGGGAGAAGTATGGGACAAAACAAAAGAATAAAAATGAAAAACTTTTTCCTTAATACTTGAGAATAAACAATATTATGAACTCCATTACCCTAGAAATTGTAAATATATTAGGAATAACTTTTCAAAAAAATATAGCAACAACATAAATTACGATAAAGATTTTTTAGAATTTAAATAAACGACTGAAATATGCCCAATATATTATTGGGATAATATGATAATATAAAATATCCCTATAGCAGGGAATCCAACACATACACTTAACAGCGCATTTACACCATGAATTTTATGACGCATTTCAAGGTAAAAAATGTAAAAGCACTGGACCAGACTGTATATCATTCCTTTTCTTACAAAAAGATGCACTGCGTAACGTACAAAAAGGAAAACGGCCGTTATTATTCCTATTCCTAAAATAAATAAGGAAAATTTTGAATTCGAAAATTACAGTCTAATGTCCTTAAGATAATACATTATACAAAGATTGGTGTCAAGCAGAAACTTCGATGACGCTGTGTTAGTCACCATATACACGCGTGAGACAACAGCTGACAAAGATCTCACGAGTCGTGGGACCGTGTTATCCTTATCATAGTAGCAGTAAACAAAGCCAGCTCAACATGATAATCACTAATGAAAATATGTATTTTCGCAGACGACATTACAATTCAATCGATATTAAGTCAAAATTGTACCAAACCTCTAAGGTTCTCTCAATGCTCCAGCAGTTTGTGGCAACAAAACTTGATTTAATTTTTTTCTACTAAATTTAGAAGTAAATACTTCTCAAAAAAAAATTCCACACAACCGCTGTTAACATAAAAAACGAAATAATATAAAATTATATTTCACATCTACGTTTGAGTAACTGAAATTCCGAATTAAAAGCGAATGATTATAATTGCTTAAAAATTAATAAACAATATATATATATATATATATATTACAAAGCAAATTGTATTAATCTTATAAAACTGGAAATACTACAAATGCTTTTAATAGTTATTTCATCGATCGGAATTAACAGTACTTGTAAATAATTAGATTTATTATTTACGTAATACATTCTTCTGTAGACATTGTATTAAATTTTTATTCTCGCCGTCATCTATGATTTATAATGGTTGTGTTTAATAAATTATTTATAATAATAAAGACGTTTATTTAATCTTCTTGAACAACAACGATTCAATAACATTGATTTTGTAAAAATTGGCTATGTTTAAATTGATAAATTGTAATTTTTTTTAAAGACAAATAATAAAAAAACATGTCTTTAACCTGGTAAATATTATTTAAAAAATAATGTGATGAAACATATTCACTGAATAAAAACATACAGGGTGGCCCACCACTCACTGACAACTTAAATAACTTTTGATCCAGTTAATATTTTTAGTTGATTTTTTTTTTAAATAATAGTTATACGTTAGGTCTATAGCTATATCTCAATAATTAATTTTTTTACATTTTATTAAAAATATTAATTATTTTTAAATTTTAAATAAAATGTAAAAAAAAAATCTAAGATAGCTATTTTGTAGAGTAGAATTTAAGAAAAATTTTAGTAAAAAAATATCTTATTAATATTCAGTAGTAAATATTCTGTAGCGTTTTGAAGTTTGTGAAAATTTGAATTTTCATGTACTATTTTACGGTATTAAACATTGAAATACGTATTGAGAAAAGGACAGAAGAAAACGCTATCTTTTCAATATACTTTTGAATGAGAGTGATAAGTAATAATTGCCTTATCTAATTTCTTATCATGGTATTTATGCCAAGTTTGTAATGTATACACACTATCATCATATGTATACACAGTAATCATGAAAAGATAGCGTTTTCTTCTGTCCTTTTCTCAATACGTATTTCAATGTTTAAAACCGTAAAATAGTACATGAAAATTCAAATTTTCACAAACTTCAAAACGCTACAGAATATTTACTACTGAATATTAATAAGATATTTTTTTACTAAAATTTTTCTTAAATTCTACTCTACAAAATAGCTATCTTAGATTTTTTTTTTACATTTTATTTAAAATTTTAAAATAATTAATATTTTTAATAAAATGTAAAAAAATTAATTATTGAGATATAGCTATAGACCTAACGTATAAATATTATTAAAAAAAAAAATCAACTAAAAATATTAACTGGATCAAAAGTTATTTAAGTTGTCAGTGAGTGGTGGGCCACCCTGTATAAAATAATAATCGTAAAATATCATTCAATAAACACATCGAGATATGCCAAACGTTTATTTAAGTATACATTTTAATTAAAGCTGGAAAATTTTAACTGTTTCAATTTTTCTTTCGTGATCACAAAATTTTTACCAAAAAAGTATAATAGTAAATTTACAATAAATATTTATATTATATCATATTTTTATGTATTATAATAACATTCATAACATTAAAATAACTTTAAAGATAATAACTTTATGTTATTGCACATTCCTTAAAAGATATTCTCTGTATACTTCCTTCATTTTCAAGTATCTTTTAAGCTGAAATTTTCACCATCCTCGAAGCTATAAAATCGTCAATATTTTATCCTAAGTGATTCAATGAGTACAGTATTTGTCATTTGTAAAGAGACCGTAATTACAAAAGTACGCATTGACCACATTAGACTGATGCACTTAATGTACAATTAACCCGAAAACATTTTCAAGACATAACAATGTAAACTCTCCTTATTTTATCTAGTGTTCTATCTTCTAAAAAGACAAATTAAAACTAAATTATCATCTTCCTCAATTGTGCCGTTGCTAGAATTTGCGGGACCATAAACTTTTTTCATATTTAAGTAAAAGAGGCCTTCTTTTGATTTTCATGTATACATCTTCTTTTTTCTCGCCTTTATTGCAACTACTCGGCGTCGATCTCCCTTATCCTAAACCTCCACTTGACACAATCTCCTACATCATGTACGCACATAGCAGGCGTCCACATATCGCATTCAATAACATACCTCTATCTGCTTTTTGGTCTTCCTCTACCTCTTCTTTCTTCAATATTCATTTCCATAATTGTTCTTACAGCCTTTCATGTACACATATGAGTCATTTTAAAGCGCGTGGATTTAAGGTCAGTGCATTGGTGGCTTAACTTTTACACTAGTCGTGTTTCTCAAGATCACAGAACTCGAGGCCTTAGATTAATCATATTTAAATCATATTTAGAGACTAGTACACATAATAAAACTTTTCTTTCTTTTACTATATAATAACCAACAATAATTTAAATGTATAGTAGGCTAAAGAGTTTTTGTTTGAAGCCAATAAATAAATTAAAATTTGAATGTTTTATCAATTTTCAAGAATTTAATGATGTGTGTGTATCATTAAAATAATTGAAAATATAAAAATTCATGACAGTAGTAAAACGTTTAAGCGCTGCACAGTTGAATGATATCAAAAATTGCTAATTGGTTTGCAAGTGGGCTTTTTATCAATAATTCGGCCTGTAACAACAACATGGTTTGCCACTTGCATAACGACTAGCTATAGTAGCAAGGGTCGCCACCACCTAGGCGAGGTGTCATACCTATCAGATATGATTAGTTTTAAGTTAATTAAAAGTATAATCTAAGTTAACAAGTCGTTATATGTAAAAATTACTATAATGCCTCGTGGTTTATAGAACACAATTATGACAATCAAAGTTGTATGTGGTTGATATGTAAAACATACCGTAGCCCGTGTCTAGATTAAGGAATAGGGATAAAATACACGGGAGTAATTAAGTTACTCGCGCAATAAAATAAATA